TGCAGGATGAGCCAAGGACGGTCCTCTGCTTTGCAGAGGACCACGTTTTGTGAGGTAAAAATATGTCGGACAACGTTCAATTGGAAATTAAGATAAGAACAAAAATTACACATGTATGAAAATGTTCAAGCCTGAATTCATTATTTCATGACAAGGCTAGTTGAAATGTTAGCGCGGGCCGCATTTGGCCCGCGGGCCGGACTTTGGACATTCCTGGTTTAGAGGCTTTATCGGAGGCTGAGATCAGAAACGCAATCACAGCCCTCAATCTTTTTCGTGCTGATGGCCCGGATACGCTCGCACCCCGGCAAAACACTGACCGACCTGTTCGAACAGGTCCGGAAGGAAAAGGTCATCCCAGTTAACGGAGTGAGTCGATTAGTGGTGAAATACCAGAATGGAAAGCGCACGGACTGTGCTAACCACAGAGGTATTAGCCTGATGCCGGTAATGACCCAAGTACTGGCCTAAATTATCGTTCGTCGCCTCACTGCGAGACGGGAATACCGGATTGGGGAAGAGCACGCAGGCTTTTGTCCAGGACGGGGCTGTATAGACCACATATTCACTCCCCGGCAGATGCTAGAGCAGCGCCACACGTACCGCAGACCGACAATAGTCGTGTTCCTCGACGTGAAGAGTGCGTTCGATTCAGTCGATCGATCGACTTTGTTCGAAATACTTACGCGGAAAGGTGTTCGCATGAAATATGTGAAAACTTGACGTGCCCAATACTCGAACACTATAGGCCCCGTCAGGGTCTACGGTGATTTATCGGGATATCTTTCAGACAACCAGTGGTGTTCATCAAGGTTTTCCAATTTCCTCACATTTATTCAACTTCGTCGTGGACCCCATGATGGAGTGTTCCCTTGCGGAATCTCACGATGCGGACGTTGAAGTGCTGGTTGGTGAAACGCTAGTTGATCTTGATTATGCGGACGATATTGCCATGTTTTTTAACGATTCTGGGGCGACCCAAACAACCCTGAATAACTTTACAAGAGTGGCCCCATGATTTGGCATGCGCTTCGCACTTTCAAAGTGCAAAGTATTGTTGCTGGACCACCAACCACTTGATGATATCTTAACAGCGAGAAACTCGAGGTGGTTGTTCAATTCACTTACCTTGGCAACTGTATCAGCAACGATGGGCACATAACGCCTGAAATCAGTTTATGTATTGCAAAAGCTAGAATTACCATCTTGAATCTGAGACATCTGCGATATAAAAAAGACCTTTCCCTCTGTCTGAAAGGCCATGTTCACAGGGCCACAATTAGGGCCGTCCTACTCTATGGAAGTAAGACTTGGCCCCTTCGGTCTGAAGATCTGAGGCGCCCAAAGTCTTTGATTAGCCTACTCTGCGGATCATTACTAGTGTCGGATGGTACCAGCATGTCCACAACGATGATGTGCGTAGCCGAGTGCTATGCAGTGACAGTCAGACTAGTTCTCTAGAAAATAGATAACACTGAATAAGTTGCATTGATTTGGATATGTACTATGTATGCCCGGTCATCGCTTACCGCGTAGAGTCTTGTTTTGTTCGCCGGATGTAGGGTGGCGCAAGGCTCGGGATAGAAAAAAGTTGACTTGTTAGCGGGAAATAAAGTCACTGGCAACCGAATTGGGTATTGCGGAAGTCCACAAGGCCATGTTGTGCTTGAATAAAGACGTTACAGGATATGGCCCGCAGCCGGCACCAACGACCAGTCTGCTGTCTCCTCCTAGTCGGACTGTTGAGTTATCCGCGGGATAATGGCTGAGTATAACGCAGGGCAGTGAAAGCCGCAAGAAAGTTGTCCTGCCGATGCCGCCTTATCTTTGCATGATAGCCAAATGTTTGTGACAGCACACTGTTGACATGGTGTAGGCGCCTTGACGCTGAATGTTTGTTTAGGGCATTAAGGTTTTATGCTAGTTCACCCTTCTCTTCCTCTTATTGTTCTTCGTTCCGTAAGTCACCATGGTTGTATGGCAACGAAGAATCAGTCCAAATGGCTGATGTACTGCTGTTGATGATAATGACGATGATGAATGTATCGAGCAACTTTGAACTATTCACATTTCTTTTTCAGATCCACTCGTACCACACTAATCAATGGTTTTGGTTCAGACCAAATCGTTATCTTCTTTTCTTCGGTTGGACAGAAAGCGATGACCTTCTTCCTTCAAAACGTAATCACAGGAGGCAACCGAATAGGAGTTATAAGCTCAACTCGATTGTAAAGAAACACGAGTGCGCTTCTCGGTGTGCAATATATGCTATCACCGCACCAAATCGGGTGAAACCATGAGATGATCAGACAATGAGGTGGCATAAAGAAATTAATAGAGACTTGGTTAGGCTAGTACGCGTCATTTTGGTGGATGGCGGCCCCGAGATGGGTCACAGCAGGAACTGGAATCCTTATCTGACATGGCGCGTTCGGGGACTTTTGCACCAATGATTTATGAACAATGAACAATGATTTATCACGGGATAAAAGCAAGCGCTTGACACGTCCCGTAGGATGGTTGAGGTGAATATGATGACATCAAAATATGTCTGGGTCATCTATCGAACGTCTGCCAAGATGAATAGGTTGATAAGTAACATCAGTGTAAAAGTAAAATAAATTATCCAGCGTAAACGTTCAGAAGACACTGGGGTGCAGAGATCATTGAGGTAAAGAGTGAGAAAAGTAAAATACGGTCGCTCACTTAGGTCCATTTGATACATAAATTCTGTTGAAATGCATCCTTGGCGTAATCCACAGTAGGGGAGTTTAGGTAACAAAATGTTGGGAGCTAAGAGCAACATCTAATCGTTTTTTGAAAACATCCAAGGTAGGAGAGGATACAACTGAGTCTGGGAGTGCGTTCCAAGGTTTGCAAACCCGAAGGGAAAAGTAATTCCGTCGACACTCTAGACGGCTGTATTGTTCCTTCAACTTTAAGCAGTTACCCCTGGGCTGCGTGTTGTGGCTAAGTTTCAGCAAATGGCGGCACACGTGGTTGGGGTCACTCAATATTTGATACGCTAATATGAGATCACCGCGCAGTCTTCGATAGCGCCCGCTGAAAATTCCCAGCAACTTCAGCCTTCGGTGGTAAGAGTGATAGCGCAGGCCCTTTACACTTTTTGTTGCTCTCCGTTGTGGTGCCTCTATCGCTTCTAGGTCACGCTTCAACCAAGGTTGCCAAGCTTGGATTGTTTACTAAGTTGTATCTCAACTCCCTTGCACACAATTTGGTTTCCACTTCATTTCCCTCATCATCGTTAACTATTATCATTGTTACTATAATTATAACGAGTATTATGGTTAATTATTATTATGCTGGCAACGCGAGTCATGCCAAGTAGTTCCACCTCACTTCGGTGCCCGCGTTATAGTTGTTTAGTTGAGATACACCGCACCAAGTATGTGCATCTAACACAAAACCTTACCAGCGTCCAGTATAGTGATCCAATGTAGTAATGCTGACCGTCCAGCTACTGACGACGCAACATACATTGCCTCTCCATCGGACAACCTGCCCTTGATGCAGTTACGTACAGAAAACAATGTCCTGTATGTTACTACGTAGTTGATGTGTCGTATTAAGGATATTTCCGCCTGGATTCCTGACTACCCCATTCGCACTAAAGGTGTCGTGCGCTTGCGCGTCCCCTGCGTCTCCAACTCCAATTCCTATGACTCGGAATATTCCAACGTATGATAATTAATCCACGTAGGAACTCTTCGTGTCCCTGTGAGTTAACGCAGTGGCATGATAAAAGTGCACCACGTCCAACACCCTAAGAGTATCCAGGTTCACCAAACATGGCGCCAACTTCAAGTACCCAAACGTTATTCGTTCGTGTCTGAAAGGATCAAGACCAACTTATCGCAATTTGCGAATAGTTCAGGAAACAACAAAACTGGGAATATAGAGTACTTTGCATTGTTCTCCTTGATTTGTTCGTATCGAGCTAAAAAGCTGTCGGAACTTGGTTGGCCTCGTAATGACACGCGATTAGTAGGTGAATCAAATGATCGTGCCTGAGTGGGAGCTGTTTCCAAGGTCGTGTTGGTGGTTGGGATGGATCTCAGGAAGTCGAACATCGAGCCGAAGAGATTTTTGCGTGACTGTAATGACACGTACTCCAATGACCACAAGTAAGCCCGTTTGGACTGATGGTAGGGATAGAAGCATACGACGATAGGTGTGGTGCAACTCCAATACAAAACATGCTAGGTACTACGGAATGACGAGTGAGACAGGAGGCACAGTAATTCCACTCAGTTCGTTAGCTGAAGAAAAGATCCGAGATACACAGACCATTTCGTAGACACGAATAATCCAAATGGTTAAAGGAAAATTGTCACACCAAAAGTGATGTGCATGAAAGTCCCGTGGACCGTTTACACTAAAACAAGCAAAGAACACCGAACAGACAAGTACGATCGACGTGAGTTGAGTTAGTGCAAGTAGAAGACCGCTTAAAGGGAAGTGAAGCGTATCATTATCAGTATGATCAGTAATATAAGTACACTTGCTGCTGCATGCACAAGTTTGAAAACAGGTTAGAAGGAAGGTAAAAAATTGGCGACTAGCATAAAGTAGTATGCATTCACCCAAGAGAAACAGTCAATGTTCTGGGGATGATCATGCGTCACAAATATCTCTATGGCGAGTGAAGAGGTAGGAGCATAATTTCCGGACAGCAACTCTGTTAAACAGGATGCGATCAAAATAAAACCTACTATCTGCCCAGAAATACTGTCCCGTAAAATCGCTTCCGGTGTGTTCAAGGAAATGGTGCAAGATCAGAGAACCGAATCGTGTGGAAGGCAACAGGCGATCTGCTGAGCACCGACACAACTGTCAGGTGCCACATTGTCAAGATAACCTATTTCAGCGTATATTGTGTGGGAGTGCTTAAGTAAAAAGCAAGAAATCGTGAAGGCTCAGTGTGGGTTCCTAAGAATTCGTAGAAAAATGAAATAATAGTACAGTTGTCTGATCAAAACTTACGGCAAAAAGGACCAAGGCGGAGAGACTAGATTACCCAAACGGAGTGTATGAATAGAGTTCAGAGGAACGGTACGCTGCCATGTGATCTGCTCAGTGATGAAATTAAATGTCATGAAGATAAGCGCTGTGTCCGTCAAGCAAATCGTGCATTCTTGATCGTGATCCCAATGATCGATGCTACAAAATATCAAAAAGAAGGCGATACAGCGATGACGCAACTTGTGAAAGCATGGTATTAATTGCTGCGCCAACACAGTGCACAATCGAATGTTGAAATGTCGTGTGATTCTCCAGTAACTGAACAAATGATGGGATGCGAGCAAAGCCAAGTAAACAAGAAATGAACCCTTATGTAAACTGTGCATCAGGCTACGATTCTCTGTTGTTGACACTGTCTACCGGTAGCCCTCATTTGGTCCCGAATGCGTCCGGGGGCCTAGTTCTATTGATTACGTGCTATTCAGTCTTCGCTGTTGTTATAGCCCGTCGTATTTCATTCTATTGCAGACGTCCTCACATTCTATCGATCCCGGCGTCGGCTACTTGTTTTCTGGTAATTTAACCACAAACAGTTTAACCACGACCAGTTTACTGGTGACACTTAATTAGCTACGTACCCGAGGGCACTTAATTTTCCAGTTGTCCGAACCAAGGATACGGAAAACGCCTAGACTAACACGCAATTACCCTTACAGTGCTGTCGTTACTGTGGGCTGTGGATTGAGCTAAACAATAGAACGATGTTCCATATCGTTAAGCCTCTAGCCAAAAATGGGGTGCAACAACGCTAAATCCAAACTCATCATTTGTTGATGAGCATCTCCCTCGGATCACAAGGTGACTACGAGTCGTCTGTCGCTAGCTCACCGCACAATGGTCGAATCGAGATGCGCCGCTTGTTTTCTCTGGAGCATCATCCCTGAACACCGGGAGGGAGACTGCAGCTAAATGACACAGATTAGCATAACTGCCCTGCTTGAAGACAACGGGCTACGACCGCACTCGAACAGAAACGATGGAATAGAAGCTGAAGCGAATTCAGAAGTGTTCCAAGAGGTACTCGTCAAAGGGTAATTTATAAGATAAGCAGATATGCATTGTTATCATGGTACCCATGGAGTACGAGTACCAAGCAAGTCACTTGGATGTCCGACCAGGTGCAGTAGGTGGGAATCTTTGGGTGCGCGCGCGTGTGCAGGCGTAGGTTCACAAATAGGCGAGTAAGAAGGCATATTCTGCGACTGGCCGACATGGCCGAGAGCTAATGAGGGGGGCGACAATTAATCCGTACACCGAGTATTACTGAGTGCCCAACTGCATATAATAGTTACAAAATTGTGTGTGTTACTGTTATGTGTTCAACATCGATTTGGCGAGATGGCTGGTGCCACGTGCCGCTGAATGCACACCACTGTCCAGACAGAAGATCCAGTGGAGGTGGATCACACGTTCCGTGTTTGGAGCGTAATGTCACCCACAGCAATCAGGATTACTTATGGGGAGTACACCTTATTGATGGCGGTCAAAAGGCTCTGAGTGTTAGCCTTATCCCGATGACATCCGCCTCTGATCAATGATTTGCGCAAAGTAAACAAAGCAAATGGGTTATTCTCAACCCGACACTCCATCACGCGGTAGAGTATAGGAAAGAAATCAGGAAAAGCAGATTTCTGTGAAATAAGCACTAATGATTTATGTAGATGAGAAATCCGGTGTGGCCGATAAACCAAATCATGAAACCCAATTAGAGGGCAGCTAAAGGTAATCGGATTGCATTTTCGATAGTTTCGTCATGGTCACACTTAAGCAGACCCACTGCAAATCGATGGAAGCACAGTACGGCCGTTTCATCCTTTAGGGAAGCGCAAACAGTGCGCATTCCACCTGACCCGTGTGAGGCAAAACCAGCGACCCGATTTATGCGAGTCCATGGTTAAGACCATTGGGCTACCGAGAGTGGAAGGCAGCCGTCGAGATTAGGTGACTTGCTGTTGTATAGTGTGGCAAATCTTCCTCGAAGGCTAATGCAAGTCCATCCGTCTGCTACTACCTAAAAATCAGTAAATGTCCCATGCTGTCGGACGATGGCGGCGCAGCAAGAGAAGTTACGTCTCAGGGGTCCACCATGTGTTCTGCACGTTGAAAACGCGCATAACAGTGGATGATGAGTACCGTGCTATATCAGAGTTGTCTGCAATTGGCTGACAGACAATGGTGACTCACAGTATCGGAGGCGCCACGAAGCAGCCAGTAAGAAAAGACGCCTGGTTGGCTTGACCTCATTCATTGTGATTGATCTAGCACCTTTCCTCCGTGTTTCCCACTTTCTATTCCAAAGGTGTGTTAGCTGTAACGTCTTGCTATCTGTGCATCACATTTATCGTACTCGAAAATTTGCGATGATAATGAACTACAAGTGATTAGCCGGCTGAGAGTGGCTAGCTTGGCACGACATATCATACGGCTAAGTTAAGTAAGGGGGAGAAACAGTTCATCGGAGCGCATCTCTTCCCCGTAGACCGAAGGGACACTCGTGCTCGGGTGACAACATGGATTAAGGTCAATTCATATGTCGCCCCAGCATTTGTTCTTTGTTTAGATTCGGCTTACGGATGGAGCCCGTCAAAATGAGGAAGCGAAGTGTTTGTGCGCTGATGGTGCTCACGTATGCAGCACATATTTCGGAATGCCGACAGGTAATCTGATCTCACTTACTCAGGAAAGGGCACGGTTTCAGTGTCCTTTGCATTAATCTACACAATAGGTCACATTAAACCGCAATCTGAACGAAGACACTGTAAGGAACATGTAACTTGACACATAACGCTATAATACCGCAAAAAAAGGGTGGACGTACCGAGTTAGGATCCAGATATCGATAGATTTCCCATATTCAAGTTTCAGATAGCGATCCCGTAGGATTGATTCTAGTCGTTCCTTAGTGAACTGAACGGAAGAGAAAAATGTGAGATGTCCGAATGCTTATGCATTGGGGACAATGTGAGTGAGTCGTTTATGCCAAGAAACGTCTTCCGCAGCCTTTCACGGCTTGGAGGGAAACAGAATCAGTAAATATCACACCGTCAACAATAGGACCTTTCCAGTGACCTGTGGAGTCCAGCACTTAAGAATTTATTGCATGAAACTATAAACGTCTAAGCCTAACGGCACGACCTTTGCTCCCATACTGCGCTCACACTACCGATGTGCTGAAGTTACTGCGCTAAGCGGTGAGGTGAGCATTCACTAGTAAGACGGACTACTCGCTGAATCCCCAAAAGGCAGAGTAACATGTGTGATACGGGCTTTTAAGGGAACTTGAGTGGCAGCCTGAGGTGCCCAGCATTTAATCATCATCATCATCATCATACACGTTAGCTAGAGGTGGGGAGCACCTCAGCATTTAGTCATCAGACAATGTCAGACACAGTTCAAGAAAACTGTAATGGGAGGGGAGGTATTCCGTTGTTAATGGCATTGTACCACCCAGAGGATCGGCTTCGCGACCACAGTCAAGCAGCAAATGTGAAGGATAAGCTGTGCCAAAACCGAGAGACATGGCCGGGAGGCGAGAAGTTCCATTAGGTGTTTCATTGGTGAACACACCAAGTCGGACAAAGTTGAACCCGTTAGACTGCCTGTCTGGAGTCACAGCAGCAAGTACGAATGCGAGAAGAACCGGCACTGACGTCCGAGTCCACAGGTGGGTTGGGTGTTACTCCCTTTATTCGTGATGCACACCATAAGCTTCTGCCGGCCAAAAGCTGCAGAGAAAGCACGCAGATAAGCTGAAATCTGAATTGTCAATATTTTTGTTAATTTTACTGATGAGGTAGTAGGTAGTTGAGGAAACTGATCCGAAGAACAACGATATGATACCGAGGAGAAGAGAGTATGGGGAGAAAGCTATTGACGAAGCCATGGTAATCGCGTTCATAGGACACGACCTAAAAGAAATGGAGCTGCGCGCAGGCGGACGACTTCTTGACTTGGAATACGCAGACGACCTTACCCTCATATGTGACAGCTCACAAAGGTGCCAAGCGGCAATGTACAGATTAGCACTGCCTATTATTCGATTCGGACTATGCTTTGCACCTTCAAAATACAAAGCTTTACTCCAAAATTGGAACGGACCGTTTCCTGTGCTGACTCTTGGTGGGGAGAACCTAGAAGTCGTTCAGAAATTCAACTACCTAGGCAGTTGTATCAGCGCCAGCGGAATCGAAGGGGAGGTCACAAAAATATAGTAAAATCACAAGGCGCTTTTGCTAACCTTGGCAAACTATGGCGCCGATGTGACATCACTCCTATCTCCTTGAAGGGTAAAGTGTACAATACTGCGGTACGTTCGATTCCACTGTACGGTTATGTAAGCTTGTCCCTTCGATCGACAAATATAAAGAGGTTAGCTACATTCGATCATCGCGGCCTTCGCAGTTTAGCTCATGTCTAGTGGGAGCACCGTGTAGCCAATGAGCGAGTTCGACGCCTTGTTTATGGCGCAGGAAAAAGAAGTAAACCGATTCGCACCGTTATACCATGCACCAGGCTCTGATGGTTGGGCCACGTGTCACGCATGTCTGCTCACCGACTCCTGCGAAGTTCGTTGTTTGTTCGCCGGGGGTGTGGATGGAAGAAGAAGAGGTGGCCAAGCGATGACATGGTCAAAAGGAAAGAAGGCCCTAAGTTTGAAGTTGGCCTCGGTTAGAGCCTTCCGGCTCCTTGGTAGGGGTCCGAAAGACGATGAACACGCTTGACTGGATACACTTGTTGACAAGGCTGGGAGTTGACCTCAATGGCGTTTGTGTTGTGAGTTTCTTTGTTTCTCTCCCTCTAACACAGACCTCATTTACTAGGCATAAGGTAATCTTTTTGAAGCACAATGACCAGCTGTTAGTTCTCCGAACCTATATCCATCCATTACTAATGGCTCAGTTGGTGTGCCACTTGCATGATTTCTCTTTTGTATTAATGCACAACAGCTGAACTGCTTTCTACCTCTAGCTAACGAGTATAATGATAATAATGATGATGGCGTGGGATGTGAGAAGATAACATTTGACTACAACAAAAGTTCAAACTGGTATCCAATGTCTGTGGAGAAGATGTCCGATAAATGAAATTAGATCAAGCTGTGAGAAACTACTTCACGTTCACCAAGTATGCGGCTAAATCAGGAGCTGTGGTTTTCGATTGTGACGTGTACAATCAATCTAAATCGTGCGCACAGTGGCAATGAAATTGGCCGCAGCAGTAGCATGCTTCCATAACACACGAGTGGGGGAACATAACTTTAGTGAGACGATGGTATCATCAATATGTCGCCGTTCTACTAGCTGTTGTGAACATGTCAACTGTATCCGAACATAGGAAAGCTGTTGGGACAATCATCGAGCGTGGGCTGATCAGCTGCAGTTCATAGGAAAGTGAACATGAGAAATAACCTATGCTCCAGAAAAGGTTATTGGTCTTCTAATACAGCGAGTTAAAAGGTTGATTACTAAGTTGATAAAGATGCTGAGATATTGAGAGTATGCGAAAAATGCCACGACAGTTTCATAAACCTCACCTTAGAGCAGAAGTACGCGGTAGAAGAAGTCTGTACCTTGGCGGGCCAAATCTTACCCTCCGGAGTGAGGAACGGTTTTTTTAGTGACTGCGTCCTATCTGCGTTGTCATTGTCACTGAGATGATGTTTGACTGATTTCAATTCTGGATCGCCGTGTGGAATCTGTGAAGAAACCTCTAGGCATAAAGGATCCGATAAAAGACCGCACAAATGATAGAAGGTAAGGAACCGGAAAACGAAATGGATCAAAACTTGAAGTGAACTTGCCACTATGAAGGAGATTCAGTGAGAGGGTATACAGCCTTCAAATGTAACAAGTTCAGCGAAGTATCGTACAAACAACAGCAAGCTGCCATACATCCGAAGATCATGAAATATTAGTTCAATGGGTGGGGGGAATCAGAGGTAGAGGGACCAAAATATTAAGCAGCCAGGATCAGGGCAAGTTCCCACGATAAAGATAATATGGTCACAAACGGCTGGCTGCCGGACGAAGATAAGGATGTATCGGCAAGACAGCTTTCTTGAGGTGCTCATCAGCCCGGGTCCCAAATAACCTCACCTTTCGGATAACAAAGGACTCACGCAAATATGTGAAGACGACTAAGATAGTAAACATGTCATTTGCACCGGCTGCAATCAGTGTGAGACAGGTTGACTATAATACAAAAGCAGAAAGAACAGACAGTATTCCGTCAAACAGTTACTGATTTCCAGGTTTTGGAGCACCCGACGTGTGTCTTGGATAAGGACACTGCGCTGCTCGTGGAGCCCAAAGTTCTAGTGATCATAGAGATAGCCACCAAGCACTATGCGCCGTTCCATCCCCAGCTCGGCTATCTCTACCTGATGAGTTCAAACCAGGACGAAACCGTCGGCCTTGGAGGGCAGGGATTGGAGAGAGCTACACCGAAACCCTCCGGCTACTGATTTCATTTCCCGCAGCTGGGACAATGGTAATCTCGCCGTGGCCTTAGTACACCCAAATTCTCAGTAACTGGGGAGCAGGAGTGAGTAGCACGTTCCGGAACAAAGCTGGCCGAATCAACCACATTCGGTGATGTAACAAAATAAGGCGAGCATTAACGCCTATCACTCGCGTGTGCGTCTCATCAATGTGAACAATGAATCACCGTTCGAGAAAAGCAATGCATCGTAGATATCTGCGGTCAGAAACGTAAAGATGGCCAAGATAGTCCGACCGCAGACCTCAAGCCTCAGTACTGTTAAGGACGACGTCCGGCGCTTAAACAGATAATGGGAATCTCCCTCCGGCGCGAGTTTAATAGATCCGTAGGGGCAATTTCACCTTCGCAACGCTTACCATATATACAGCTGTAATACGTTCGTTGCGGCAGTTCTTGTTGTCTATTCAGTGACTTCTGACTGGTTCGTTTGTTCGCGCGCGTTGTTCGTTTGCTACGTTTGGCCCATACAAAACCTGCTCTGCCAGGGGTCACGCTAAGCTTTATTCCTGTTAGGTAGCACCAATTTATCGGTGTCCATCCGACTCTTGCAATCGTGTCGGATTTCGTGGACTGCGCTTAATTGGCGATTAGTCTCCTGGCCCCACGCCGTTCCATTTCAGTTATAATCACACTGACGTCAAACGGACACACCTGTGGTTCGTAAAAACGGTGCAACCTCTACTGCAAATAGCGCACCCAGATTGGTTAGTGTGGTGTTCCCTTTCCACGTGTCTGTTTGGCGCATGAGGTACACGATTGCAGAACAGTCCAGTACAATTACTGACGCGGTTACGAGAATTAGGATCTGCAGCGATGTATTAGTTGAGGGAATAGGATCGCGTTTCGGTCCTGAGATTAAAGCCCACAAGTTAACTGGTCATGGTTCAGGAGGCATCATTTGCGCTCGAATCAACTCAGAGGCGGGAGACCATCGAAACTGATTAGGAAAATGGTCCATTAATTAATCTAGTCATTGCTCCCTACCGTTAATCAAAGCGCTGATACTCTTACACTGAAGGATTGTTCGTCGAGACTAGCGAAGTTGTATTGTTGGAAGCGCCTGAAATAAGCAATCGTCACATCTGCCACCATCCCCTAAGAAATTCCGCTCCATCAAGCTTCAATAGGAAATCGTGTCCACCACTTTAACTCGCACCTGATAACATCTATACCTTTTACGAGTCAATTAAATCCATAACGGAATCAAGCTCCTCCTTAAGCAAATCATATTCCTCCATAAGAATATTCAACTTAATCCACAAGCATATCAAGTTGAATCCAAAGTGGAGCACACGCACAAACGCGTGCCTCATCGTCTTGACCAATTGCAAACCACGCACGAGTACCCGGAAAACCTGCACTGGTTGGACTTGGCGCTCAGCCAACAAATCACGTGATGCACATGCGGACGTCCAAACAACACGTGAGCTCAGTCACTGTAGGATGCGGTGTGGACTAGCACGCGGCATCCATGACTGGTTAAGGAAGTACTTTAACTCCCACCCACGCACTTATGCGGCATCAAGACACACAACACAGAACTGTGGGGCCGGAGATATTCCATCCGCGTTCATAGTGCTCACTGTTGCGCGCAGACGACCGGACGTGACATGTGCTCCACAATCAGACAGTATCGACTGTCTTCACTGAAGGTAGCTGCATGCAAGCTAGCAGACATGTCCGTCAACCTCATGTGGTGTGACCTAGGCTTAGCGGTGTCTACGTGTGATCGGGTGTGGACAATAGTGCCTAGGTGAAATAATTAATGCGTGCGGTGCTTCATTACGCGCTATCATGGAACAATGCGTTAGTAATCGGTGGGTGTGGCTGAATTACCTGTTAACTGCAGCTGATCGGCCTCAATGGTGAGGTTAGCATCAGCATAAGTGAGTGGGTAGGAGTTAAAGTACTTCCTCAACCAGCCACGGATGCCGCGTGCTAGTCCGCACCGCAGCCTACAGTGACTGAGCTCACGTGTTGTTTGGACGTCCGCATGTGCATCACGTGGTTTGTTGGCTGAGCGCAGTCTAACCGCTGCACCAACCGATGCAGATGTTCTGGGTACTCGTGCGGTGATTTGCAATTGGTCAAGATGATGGGCACGCATTTGTGCGTGTGCTCCACTTTGGATTCAACTTGATATGCTTGTAGATTGAGTTGAATATTCTTATGGAGGAATATGATTTGCTTAAGGAGCAGCTTGATTCCGTTATGCATTTAACTGACTCGTGAAAGGTACAGTAGAATCAGGCACCTAAAGGGATCTCTATGGAACAAATAACAAGTCAATCACTATTCGAAGATCGAATGTCTAGGGTCGCTATGATTTGTAGTTTGGAAAGTATAAACTTTTGCCCCATGAAAGGTAGTGAAGATTCGACTTCACTGAGGTTTGATAACCTTTGAATGGAGAGGCCAACACACAGTCCGCAGGACAAACCCATAAGGATTTGCAGACCAGCTTCTCGCTCGCGGAAGTCGATGAAAATAGACAATAGGCCAAGGCGCTACAAGTCGACACCTTTGCTTTAAAAAGTGCAGTTGCTGAGGATGGGACCTCGCATTCGGAAGACAGCACCGAGATTAACCACTTAGGATCACATTACCGGCTAGTGTTGGCAAGGCACCGAGTGATATAGTGTGTGCATTGAGCTTGAGCGCGGTGTCGCTTGGAAACAACGGGTGTTCAGTGCAGTGCAATACGCGCTCGTCATAGTCCTTCATTCTTTCATGGTACCCTTTAACTGCAGACGGAAAACACATCAGCTATTATGCTGAAATACAAAAGAAAAGAAAAAAGCAACAGCGACGCGCCGGTTGGGTCACCAGTAACGGATGGACATCGTTCCGGAGAGCTAACAACCGGCTAATGTGCCACAAAAGTCATATTATGCCCAATAATTGAGATCGCGATTAGAGGGGAGGGACAAAGAAACTCACAGCACAAACGCCGTTGAGGTCAGTTCCTAGCTATCTCAACAAGTGTATCCAGCCAAACATGTTCATAGTCCTTCGGTCCCCTACCAGGGAGCTGAGATGCTCCGACCAAGGCCAACTTTGAAGAAAGGGCCGCATTCCTTTTGACCACATCATCGCTTGGCCATGCCTCCTCTTCTTCCATCCACACCCCCGGCGAGTAAACAACGCACGTCGCGGGAGTCGGTGGGCTGGTATGCGCGACACGTGGCCCAGCGATCAGAGCCTGGTGTATGGTATAACAGTGCTGAGCGTTTCACTTCCTCTTGCTGTGTCATAAACAAGGCATTGAACACGTTCATTGGTCACACTGTGCGCGCATCAGCTATGAGCCAAATGGCGAAGGCACGGGTGGTCGGACGTAACTATTGTCTTTATTACTTGTGAATTTTTGTAAGTAGTGTAATGTTCGTAGAAAGTAGAAGCCAGAGATTAAACTTCGCACAATGATCTGCCCGGTCCGTGGGACCGGGGTTCGGTTCCCCTTGGAGGCAGATTATTGTGTGAAGGTTAATCGCGGCTTCTACTTTCTACTGTTTTTATGTCTATCGATCGAATGGGCAAGGTTACACAATCGTACAGCGGGATCAACGTATGGCTGCACTGTACACTCTAACCTTCAAGGAGAGAAGAGTGATGTCGCGCCGGCACCACCTAGCTGATGCTTTAAGAAGTCAAGTTAACCTATTTGCGCATTCACATAGTTGATGTAGTTCCACTACATACTAGTGCGCGTAGTTTGAGGTAGAATGCATCTTTGGCAGCATTCGGGTTGCAGCTTGTGGTTGGATCGTCCAATGAGCTTGGTAGCTTTGCCGCAAACGTTTTATCAATCAAGGTGATATCAGGCGAGCAGTGTTGTTTAGGGAAGTGGAAGTGTAGCGTCAGTAATGTGGTTAGCATCCAAGAACAAACGATCAGGCGCTGCTTCAGGTGGCGGTTCATGGAAATTTGACCCGTTACTCCGATCTTGCCTGACATCGCTGGATTACTTTCTCCGGATGAATACAGCCAACAGCGACAGGATAAGCCACAACTAGCTGATCCCATTACTGCATAGTCGTGTGCTATCTCTGTCTGACGAGTGCAAATAAGCGCGAAGATGGTCGTGCGTACGAGCAACAAGCAATGCTTATTCGCAATTTCTAATTTTTAGAGACTTGGTACACCTCTAAGGCTCCCAGTGTGCACGCGGAAAGACAGCACTAAGAATAGAATGCATCACACGGGCCACGGTAGTGAGGACTGATAATCAGTTTCGATGTCTGAAGGTTAGTCAGTTGTGTGGTGAAATTAAAGCGGTGGGGAGTAGGATTGCATCATTGCGATTCAGACATCCTTTTGGTCCAGGACAAAGTCAAGCGAGTCGCTAGCACGCGACACTACGCTGAGCGGGAGACAAATGGTGCCATGATAGCTGATCGACCGAGCAAGTAAAACAGGTAGGGCCGGCTAATGGAAAGCCAATCAACATCGCCAGCACAAGCTGCCCAGATTTGCAATGACCGAGTGAAGTGATCAACTTTGCCCTAGTTGAGATAAGTGGTACAAACAGATGCGAGGGAACGACGAGCGCCAGCAAATGAACTCAGACAGATGATTAGCAAATATCAGCCACTGTGTTTCAGTGGAATAGTGATTAGAATTGATGTACAGTATAAAATGACAAAGTTCTTTCTTAATCGATCTTGGATCATTGCCCAGTTGTAGTCTTCATTTTAAAAGGGCTACTTCTAGATCTGTCAGAACGTAGTTCACAAGCAAGATGTGTCAATTCGATGGTACCAGCAACGTATGTCTGCAGAGAGCAACTCCATTTGGACAGCGCCAACGTCAAACAGCAAGCGCTCCAAGGTGACTGCAAGCAAACCACCACCGCAGGTGGATATGAATAGGCGCCCACTGCGACCGACATGCAAACCGTCGAGACTGTGTGGAAGTATGGGGTTTCAGTCGGTGGTTCCTATATGCAGTTAGATGGTGAAATTTCAACCCAACCTCGTGTGGTACCACTGTGTTTCCTGTAAAGGATCACTGAAAATGACGGTAAATTAATGGGCTATATATGCGATGGGCCGGTGCAGAAATGGTGTTTTTTAAGTAAAGCGAACAGGTGGAAACGACGTTGGAAGTGAACCATGCGAAAAGGTTTCCAACACTAATGAGGCATGGGCAAGCCTTCTGTGAAAGCGGAGTTCAACTATCAATAAGGGAAAAAGTAAACTATAGATGACAGATTGCTCGATATGCATGAATACAGATGGATGGAGTCCTCGTTATAGGAAGTGAATAAACAGTATGATTAAAGGGAAGAATATCCCGAAGGCTATGCGAAACCTCTATGAGAATGGCTAGACATAAATGGGATCAACATTGACTGGAACCAAACAGCCACTGGCATCCGGGTGTGGCATCGTTCTCCAGAAGTCATCAGCAGCACTGAGATAAGATGAATAACGTGGTCAACTTTGCAAGCAGGCTTAGCACCTTGAAAAAGGTGAATACCAGTAGCTGATAAATAAGCAATTGTGACATCGCGGTTCACTCTGTGCCGGCAAGTGTTTCACAGTAGCGCACGGGACGAATTGACCGCCAAGTGTTCCTTCGGAAGTCAGTGTCGAGCTGACTGGTTGTAAGGAGCTTCAGCTAGATCGATTAACTTCCCTAACTTTTTATTATAACTAGAAGTATTAAACTAAGGTGGGGAACATAGTGCAGCAAAATACTACGGAAAACTGATGGATTTCGGCACTTAAGATAGGATCATGTAAATTGTCGTTTAAATCTGTAATTTCTGGACGAAAGCTTCAAAAACGCAGTGTAGCAGCATCTTGTGTCCTTGACTTGACTGTCGTTCAACATTATTGAATGGTTGGACGAAGGTGATCGAACGCTAGCTCGATACAGGCATCGATCAAGGCGCAGCAGTGGGAACTGCTCATTTGACGTTCGTGAGATTCCGCACATTCTTTCGGAGCGACGAAGTGCGACAGGCTTGACCTGTGTCATCTGGCCTAGACAACTGATGTTCTTGCTGGTAGGTGGACGGAGCAGAATATCCTTTGTCAGTTGGCGTCCCAAAACGTTCGCAGTCATCATGTATTGAGTTTAGGCCTAGCTTAAGAGCTGCTTCGGAGAATCTATTTGGTTAGCCCCATTAAGTAAAACTCCACCAAACCAACAATGATGAGTGCCCAGTTGAATAATCCACTACGTGTAACCCGAAAGGAAGTCTCCATATTTGACGGAAACGATCAGTACAAGAAAGACATGAGCAACGTTGTCTGGCGTTCCCAACGAGTGATTAGTATTCACGTCAAAGTGCGAGCAAGGCGGCGTACAGTGTCTGTTGAATCGCTTCCGTAAACCACGATTGACGGTTGAACACTATTGGGAAATGGTCCAGAACAGCGCTATGTGGAGCTCATGACAGTAAACGGTGTAACTCGATGAGGATGGTAAGCTTGCATCGATAAGGGGAAAACGATATGCACAAATCTCGCTGCAACGTAATGTCGAAAGTAAACGAAGGTAGTCTTAATGATGATAGCAAGTGACATGTATACGTGTCAATAAAAAGTCGAATGTAAAGCCGCGAGAGGCTTGCTCATACCCTCCGATTAAGAGAAGAGAATGGCTGGAGTATAGATGGTTGAACACAGGTGGTCGCGCAAAGTGTAATATTGCTGATCGCCTCCGTTAGTGTGGTGACACGACCGCGTGATTTCATCAAACATCGGGGAAATCATGGTTAAGATAAAGAGGAAAAATATCGACTTAATCAGTACGCTTAGAGCAAATAGCACTTTATATTTGGGCAAAGTTGAAGGACGATTTGTAGACATGAATACCGTTGGAATCTGGAAGCTAGCGATAATTCTACAGAAGGGAATGGGTGTCAAAACGAAGCAGTACGTCGGAGTGTTCGCACCGCCTCAGCTAGTAGGTGACTGGTAGAATACTAAGTGCGAGTAATCCATGCTTTACCTTTGAGAGAAGGGTCGAATTTAAACAAGTGAAACTGACATGGAGTGAAGCGGTGCACACATTTGATCAAAGCGCGAATACCCTGTGTAAGTATTTGAAAAGGACACCGGTGATGGATGACGTCCCTGAGAAAGCCTATTCAGAGGTACAGTCTTTGTGCACAAACTTCCAACTCCAGTCGTTGATTCGATGTAGCGAACAGCTGCAAGAGCAGTTATAAAGAAGCCCGTGGTTGATCAAAAACTGTCCAAATAAGCCTTGTACGATCAGTATATGATTAGCGACCGGATAGCAGTGTGCACTAGCGACCCTAGACGACCGCACGGGAATTCTGGCATGTCTGCGGCAAGTAAACACATCTCAGCTGGGAGGAAACTAATGGCGATTTTCATGCGTAAAGTGCAGTAGTCAGGGGTTATGATGTAAGAGTGCTATGCACCATAGTTCAATACTCGGGAAATGGGAGATTAGCTCCGAATTCCACTGGCTTCTAACCACAGACTAACCTGGTGTGGTAGACTAAGAATGGTGATCAGTAAGAGTAGTTCAAAGGATGGTGGAAGAACATATGAATCTTCGCATTTCGTCTACTGCGAACCCCGTTTTCCCTAACGATTACTAGGTTTTGAATGGTGAGTGACCAACGTTTGGAACATGTTGTCGAAGCATACAGAGGAAGCAAACTCAGCGCATAATTGCAAAACATTGTTGGGTGTGCATTTCCACAATGCTCGTGTTCGAGAACGATCTACTCACTGAAATCTCACATTTGTGAGTGCAAATTTACTGTATACGTTTTTACGATATCACGCGAGAAACGGAAAAACTTAAGAGTGAAAATAACACCCCGAATTCCCTAGTCAGGCTGAAGAAGCGAGCCAGGCGTCCCAACCTAACCCAAACGACTCAGCCTCCAGCAGTATCAACTCCAGTCTCTCTCCCTCCCATAAGTAAAAAGATTGCCTGCAGCGCGCCTGCCTCAACTTCTGTACTGTGTGCTGCACCTAGTAGTCTGTTCGCTACACACGAGACCGTCAACCAGCAATAGTGAACAACCCGGCAACGTATGCATCGGTTGCCGCCAAGTAAACACCGGAAAGAGCACCGGTAACCTTTGTGCCCGGACTAGAGGAAACAAAACTGACGCAGCACGGATGGTACCCATCAGTGCAGTTCACAAATTCACCAAAAATACCGGATACTAAGCCTCCAAATCCAAAACCAGTAGCCACCAGGCGCAACCATGGTGCCCTAAACCTTGTGTGCACAAATGTCCCCGAATCCAAATCCAATACAATAAAGGGTAGATTGACGGACGATCGAAATCAGTGGGGTTCCATCTGTACGTCGACCGGTGTCTATGCTAATCCAACGACATTAAAAAGAATCTAGCGTTGCACTACAGCGAACCCCGGTTACTTCGGGTAACACTAAACTCCGCGGACGAGACTGAGGCCGTTCTGCTGTCTGCGAATCGTCTCCGCAACGACTCAAGTG